GCGGTAATTTTACCTTCATTTTATCAAATAATAATCTAACAATAAGGATCTATACAGCCCGAATTAATTCGTCAAGTTTTGTCTTGGTAAAATATCTTCTTGAAAATATTGTCAGTTTACTCGATCAGGAAATTTAGAGGGATTATTTAAAAAAAAATTATGGGTTATAGGAATAATTAAGGTCCGCTCTTTTGGATTACGAGTACAATTCTAATTGAAGTGCACCAGAAATTTACAATTGGCGCAATTAGTTAGATAGAAATTGATAAAAAACCTTAATGTAAAAATAAATTTCAATCACACTAAATCTCAAATTGAAATTTTGTTTGTTTGTTTATGTAGGTGCATAATATTTTCAAAATTCCAGTGAAAATGCAATAAAAAGTTAAAGTGAGCAACTGTTTCTTTCTGCTGTTGGAACAAACTTATACTAAATTGTCCAATCCAATTTATAGAATTGGTAATACGACTGTTATACTACAAAAAAAATAAAAATATTCATAATGCAGAGCTTTCTAAAGGCTGCTTTCAGAATTTGACCATAAATTATTCATTAGCGTTAACCTCATTTTGTTACTTCAACCTTTTGAAAAGTATTGTTTTCTCAGGTTTACTTCCGGCAAGGGAAATTACGTCGCCCCAGAATCCCAAAATTAAACGGCCATCCCTTTCCCCTCCCATAGGGTAATTAATTTTCGTTTATTTTTTCCGAAACATTTCTGCTAAAAAACGGAACATCCGGCTCAGCAGAAAATAGAGGACACATCCGTGTCTGCAGACGGCACAAGATCGTTCAACCCATACTCTAGATATTTACCTTCTACCGAGCTTTCTACTCATTTAACACTTGAAAATGTTTTTCAGTATACAAACATAACAGAAATGTCATCACAAAGGTGCATATTAACTTTTAGACGTGTTAGATGATAGATAGAAAAATGTTTATACTGGCGATGTAAGTATAACGCATATTTTTAGTACGCATTATTAATATTTTTCGTTCCACTTGTGAATATCACAGTTTAAATGTTACTATACGAAGTTTACTACAATAAAATACATTTTTACATTAAACTAAAACAGATTTTTTTAAGCAAGCATGTAAATAAATTCTATATCAGTTATATCAGTTTTCGAGAAATTATTTATTTATCATACAGTGTGTCTCACTTAAAAACTGTACACCGATGTAAAACCTTTGTTTATAGTTCGATTTTCATCTTTTTTTTTTTCGTTGGATAAGTCTCTGAAAAATGCACTAAAGCCTTTTGCTTATTGCTTCCTAAGAGCGTTCGCTGTTGGGGGCCTTTGAGAATGGGTATCGAGTAGATGCTATATATACTGACTTCTCCAAGGCCTTCGACAGGGTTGACCATGGCATTCTGGTAGGGAGGCTCTCAGGGATGAAAATCTTTGGAGACCTTCTAAATTGATTTCGTAGTAATATCACCAACCGGAAGCAATCAGTTAAAATTAAAAATTATATTTCGTTAGAGACTGTTGTGACGTCTGGTGACCCACAAGGGGGACATCTTTCCACATTCCTTTTTAATGTCTTCATTAATGACCTAAAAAGTATTTTTGCTTTTGCCAATTTCTTGCATTTGCGGACGATTTAAAGCTGCAAAATTGTAAGCTTTAGCAGATCCAAAAATCCAGTAACTTTCACCTATCATTTCAACTCTGGATCGCTCGCGAGACAGAACTTAGTTAAAGATTAAAAGAGTTTGGCTCAATTCGGAGCTCACATTTACATATCACATTCAGTTTATGACTAACAGAGCTATTCGATTGCTTGGGTTTGTTTTTTCGACTTTGAAGGGTTTTGAGAACATCTTTACGTATAGGGAGCTGTACTGTGCGCTTGTGCGTTCAATTTTAGAGTATGCTAGCTGTGTCTGGCAACCATACTATGCAATTCACAATGAAAGAATAGAACGTGTGCAGCGTAAGTTCTTTAGAGGGATGGGTTTTAAATTGAGAATGTCACAACTACGAGGATATTATGAAGCTTTTGAATCTGACATCTTTGGAGAGTAGGCGCATATTTTTTGACATCGCTACATTGCACAAAATCCTTAATAACTTGATGGATTCACCAAATCTTCTGGCATCTGTTGGTTTTCATATTAATGCAAGAAATAAGGCGTATTTTAACATTGATTTTCATAGGACCAACTATGGCGTTAACTCGCCTATATTTTAAATTTTTTACTCACAAAATACGAGCATATTGATTTATTTTCTGACTCTCTCAGTAGTTTTAATTGCAAGGTAAAGAAGATTGTTTTTAATCGTAACTTGGTAGTTTAGCAACTGTAAGTGTTGGTGTTACTATTTTTCTTACGTTAAACTATATTGTAATGATAATGTAAATGCTAAATGCGTAACTAAAATTTTTAATTTTTAAAGTCATGGCCCACTGAGATTGTTTAACAAAAGACACAGAACAGAGAAGTACCATTAGGGATATTTTCATCCTTATTCCAAATTATACCAATTTTTATAATGTTTCAATACATGGTGTTTGAAATATCGTTTGCGCCCCACTTAACAGTGTACATCGTTGTAAAATCTTTTTTTTTATATTTATTTTTGTTGGATAGATCTCTCAAAAACGCACTAAAACCTCATGTTTCTCATTACATCAACCTGAAGTCATGGCTAACTGGGACTAATTTTTGATGTCAAATATCAAGAGGGGCTATTAGGGATTTATTTGAGAATAAATTGTCAACGAATTCTTCAGCACTACATAAAACCTAACAGGGTGCTCGAAATATAGAATACGCCTGACTTAAGCATTAATCCTGTAGAATGTTTGTTTATGGCTCAATTTCGATAAATCTTTTTTGTTGAATAGATTTCACTCAAAGACACTAACGATTTTCTTAAAATTAAATATGATTAGAGAGGATTGGGTATGAAATAAACAGACTTTACAACGCTGTATTTTTTTTATTGAGAAGGATTTCTAATTTTCATCTAATAATGAAAATAGCAGAAATATCAAAATTGATTGATGTCGGCATACTGTTCCCTTTGTAAAACCAAGTTTGTCATGGAGAAGCGAATATTGGACTGTCAAATTCACTTGCTAACTTATATTTAAATTTTGTTTACATTTTATCTTTCGAATACTAAGATTTATTAATGCTGTTTGTTTTAACATGATAATATAAAACATAAATGTCCTTTAAAAAAAAATTTATAAGATTTTAAAATCACATACAAAGTTTACAATATTTATTTTTCAAGATATTAATTATATTATATTATATATTATATATTAATTTTCAATTTGAAAAAAACCTCTAAAAGTAGCCATGACTTTAGTTTATGCTATACGAAAAAAAATTTATCAAAATTGAGTCATAAACAAACATTCTACAGGAGTAAGCATTATTAGCTAACTTCATGGAAATTAGTTCAGTTAGGTTTTATGTAGTCCTGAATAAGAATTCGTTGATACTTTATTCTCAAAGAAATCAAAAATTTAATAAGAAACATAAGCTTTTGGTGGCGTTTTGAGAGGTCTATCCATAAAAAAAATCAAAATCGATCCATAAACAAAGATTTCACAAGGGTGTACAGTTCTTATGTGGGACACAATTATCAATGAATCATTCGTTAAATCGTCAAGGGAGTACGAATAAAAAAACACAGCCGTTGTATCAGCATATTTGTCAAGTAGGCAGCGCAAATGCTACGTACAAATATGAAATTCATGCCACCGACGAGAACGATCAACTATAAACAAAAGAAAATCATGTTAGATCGCTTGGATACCGACCCTATAATTTTCCTGTCACACGTTTATTCGTATCTGTCACAATAATTAAGAAGCATGCATGCATTTTTCAACATTTCCATTTTAATATCTCTAAAAGTTTTAAAAAAGTTATTCTTAATATTTGTAAAAAAAAGTTCATAAGGAACGGTACTAGTTTATTGACGGAAACCACTAATAAATTACAAAAGATTTATATGTGTATTATACATTATATATTATCTGATCTAGATTTAATATCAGAAAATAATAAAAATTCGAAAACTTATCTCGGGGTAAGATACAGCTTATAGCGAGATAAAAAATATCTAGCCTTCCTTCACACTTTGGACTTGTTCAAGGCTATTAATTCTGAAACGTGTACTTCAATGGTCCAAAGAAACACCATCGATAACAGTAAAAACTATAAACAGGAAAATATTATAATTACTCAAATTTCTGCTGAGTCACTGAGTCATTTAACGTGAAAAATAATAACACAATAATCAATTGTTATTCGAACCTCTTAAATTATCATTTATCGCTATATCGAAATAAATTAATTTCATACCGGGCGATATTATAACGAAACACATCCCCCAAACTACTTGAGAGTACAAAAACAAATTAAGTTAGCTAACAGATGGCGATCCCGACAGGACAATGTCTTTTCTGTTATGCGCCTGATGAAGTAGTATATTAACATCGGTGTGTGTCTCCAGTCCGTGACATTTCGAAGTGGTTATATTTTGGTCCTTTCAATGTTTTACTTTCAATTTTACTCACACCATTTCTTTCGGTTAGTTTGAATCAACGAATGAATGTAACGTGATCAAAATCTTTCGTAGACTCTACATTCAACCGTGCAATAGCTCAATCCGATGGTCTATTTGCTTTAGCGCTGCTACGCAAATGGATTTGACCCAACCCAACCAAAAGACAATTGAGGGGTGGAATCGATAGTCGATACTTGAAGCAACCTGGGCCCATGAAAACATCAGGATAGGGAAATCATAATTTGATAAATGCAAGATGCCTATGACGCCATTTCTAATGCTTTTAAAGCATCCTCAAGGAATGAGGAACGAGTTTATATGCGCGTCCTTCAAAGTACAGAAGCAGAGCTATTAAATTAAATCAAATACAATCAAAATCTGATACAATTCTACATATACTTACGAAAGGTTTCGATATCGCTGGAAGCTAGTAGTTACGATAAACGATTTGATATATAAATATGAGATTACATCGATCAGATACAGACAAAAATGAAATTTGTTTGTTTTTTGTTAATAATATGCTGCGCGAAAGGGTGAGTCACTCATTTTCGTGTTAAATGGATAATATATTTATGGCTGCTTAACAAAATTAGGCTTCGCGCAAACATTAGCAATAAGGTTTTTCCGCCTTCCTTTAAATTCGGTGCCTCGACGGCTGCCTATCAAATCGAAGGGGGTTGGGATGCAGACGGAAAAGGACCTAGCGTATGGGACACCTTTGTTCATAAAGGAGGTAGAAATCAAAAACCAAATCAATGTTTAGATGATATTATATAATCTAATGTAGGTGTCACAGTGGATAATTCCACTGGAGATGTTGCTTGTGATTCGTATCATAAGTGGGAAGAGGATGTACAAATTCTTAAAGAGTTAGGAGCCCAAATATACAGGTAACCAAAAGCAACAGCAACTCGGTTGTGAAAGTGACGAACTTTCATTAAAATTTCTAATTCTCGCAGTAATATCTAATTAATAATCGTTATTCGTACTTGATCAGATTTTCAATCAGCTGGCCTAGAATTCTACCCGATGGTACGACGAAAAACATTAACCAAAAGGGGGTTGAATACTATCTAAACTTGATTAAGGTAATTAATGTATTTAAATTGATGAAATAATATTATCCTAGTAATATAGACACCTAGTAACGGACAGGCATAATTCGTTTGACGTTAAATTAATATCAGACATACATACATACAGACTTTCCGAAGAATGCTCTTTGTAAGTAATAAATTTAGGGCTTGTCGAATCTTCTCTGGTATAATAAAATTTTTCCAAATCACATTGGAAATAGCACTTTCTTTACTATTATTTAATCACACAGGCACTGAAAGCAAACAACATCGAACCGATAATCACACTTTACCACTGGGATTTGCCCCAGAGCCTGGAGGAAAACGGTGGTTGGTTAAATCCCGTCACTGCAGACTACTTCGGCGAATACACTCGTCTTTGTTTCCAATTGTTCGGGAGTTACATCAAATACTGGATCACTCTCAATGAACCATTCATCCAGTGCCTCCACGGATATACAGTTGGTCTTCTCGCACCGGGAGTGGTTAACTTAGGAGAAGGGATATATAAATGCGCTCACGTGCAACTCCTGGCACACGCTCAGGCTTACCATATATACGACGACGAGTTTAGAGACAGCCAAAACGGTAACAAACTTTTTCATCAAACAAAAAATTTGCCAGAAGGAAAACAAAATAATTGCAGGAAAAGTGGGTGTTAACATTCCGTACTCTTGGATGGGACCTAAAGATCCCAACAATTCCCTTGATGTAGAGGCTACGGAAAGATATTTTCAATTTCAGGCAAGAGTTTTAAATTATAGATGTATCAAATTCGTTCCCAAATGTTGTATTTTCATAACAGTGTGGGTTATTCGCGAACCCCGTATTGATCGGCAATTGGCCGCAGCTTGTGATAGACAGAGTTGGCAATTTAAGTGCCCAGGAGGGTTTGGCGACTTCCAGACTACCAGAACTGACCAAGGAAGAAATTGAATTTATAAATGGGACCAGTGATTACATAGCATTGAACTCGTAAGCTCCGTTTATTTGTTTCTGCTATCTTTTTATGAAAATTAACTCTTTCACTCAGTAATTTCGGCAATGCACATCATCCCTCAACAATACCGAGATTTTTTATTAATTTTATGCCCATAGCAACGCTTGTGAGCAACGTTTCTTTAAAAAATATATGTTTATTGCCAGGAATCTTACTTTGGGTTAGTTCAATGCATTTTTAAACATCTTTTTCCTGTAAAATGATATAACTAATGTTGTAGTATTGTACGTTTTTATGGAACGAGCACTCTTAGTTTTAAATTATTTAATAAACATTATATTATAAGCATTTATCGTTATTAACAAAATAGTTTTTCTCATACATTTCGAGTTTAGTTTACTCTTCATCAGCAGAGAAACGTAAAAAGAGACTTGTAGATTCCCTAACAAATATGGAACTCATTCAGCACCCCAATCAATCCTGTATGTAAGCTAACCAAACGTAATTTCAGTTTTAACTTTCTTAATATTACAGAGAAACTTCACATAGCTTCAATACTATCTAAGTAAAATAGCTTTATTTCAGAAAATAACAAATATAAAACTCAACAAAAAGAAAAATGAAAATGCACAGAAAATAATTATGGTGATGCAGTTAACCTGGATTATAAAAACAAAGTTTTTTATCTCTTCTTTTTCAAATAGCAAAACAAATACCTGTTGCATGGACACTCACTTATATAATATATACGAAAGATATACATAATTAATTAATTAAGAAACTTTTAAGAGAATAAAAACCCTACAAGCATTTTATTTAACTATACAATAACCTCACTTTCAATGTACCTTTGTGTTGCAGTTCTAGTTCATTCCTCTTCAATATGAGACCATAAAAAGCATGTAAGCAGATAAAAATATACTGAATGAGACAAACCGGTAATTAATAAAATAGGTACTTAGTTTGTTTTAAAATTAGGTCGTTTTGTATGTGAGTCACTAATTCATTCAATATATATTCAACGTTTTTAATTCTTTCAACTATCCCAGCTGGTACAGATAAAAAAGGGCGCGCACACATAAGTCGTAACTCAATTTGTTCAAATTTGGGAGGTGTGAGTTGCGCTGCAGGTATGATGGTATGATATTTCCCAAAGTATATCTTCTTGACTTTTGGTGGCAATTATCGAAACAACCTGTCGATAGTAATAAAACATCTGACGAGTTGACATTGTAGAACAGAGGTGTTTTAAAAATATAAAGACTAAATATAATATGTATATGAATGAATATGACAGAAAACAGAAAAGTACGTTCTTATTCAAAATCTAATCTGCTTCAGTCTCATTTTACATTACATCATAGCTTGTTCACTATTGTAATAATGAAAACCGCCACGTTTTTTTCTTCCATTCACTAATTTCCAGTATACAATATTCGTTATCGAAGATATTGGTGTTATTTACAAATCTTCTGGATTGCCCTGCGTCGTTTGTTGATAAATCGAACTTGCTGAGGATACGCCAATCATCCTGCTTCATTCAAAATTTCATAAATTTCATTTTATCCGCCACTCTCTTTTTATTAGCTTTCTTTATGGATATGAACTGAATTCTTACGAAACGAATGGTATTATAAAATGGGACATTTTAGATACTCAGCAAGTCTTGTATCGTACGCAAACGACTCAACACCGTTGATACCTAGTTACTTGACAGACTATAACGTGGAAACTTCTATGAATGACTCGTGGCCCACGTCAACAGCAGAATGGCTGGTTTCGTACCCAGAAGGGTTGCGCCTAGCATTGAATCAGATTAACGACCGGTACCATCCCAGCGAAATCATCATTACTGAAAACGGGTGGAGCGACGATGGTCAACTGAATGACATTGGTAGACAGGAATACATGGAAGTAGGTAGATCAATGTTCAGTAAAAATCACATTTTAATGCGCCTGACGGCAGCAGTTATATTCCATTTCTAAAAAGTGGGGAGTAATAAAACCAGTTTGAATGGTTTGCCATTGAAATCTGAGCGTTTTTATCAAATGCCCTTCAAAAATAATGGCCATAAATACAAAAAATGCGTGAGTTTGAGATGTAATATTATATTATGCAAAAAATGTAGCAAATGGCATTTGAGTCACGAGTATATTTGGCATGAGCGGAGCGTAGCGGAGCGAGTGTTTAATAAACGAGTGACTTAGCAAGTTTACCAAACCTGTTGCACACAATACTTTTTTTCTACTCCTGTCTGTAAAATGCCTAATTACATACCGATCCAGTGTGTGGGAAGCGTCACTTTACCTTTACTTTTTAAGTCATTCGTTTATTAAACAATCGCTCCGCTCGTGACAAATAAACTCCCGATTCAAATGCCGTTTACCGCACTTGTTGCCTAATATACTATTTTCTACAACTTTCTGTAAAATACCTATTTATACACCTATCTAGCGTGCGGAAAACTTCACTTTACCACGCGAGTTTCTTGTCCCACGGATCCGAGCCACTTTGGACATTTGCAGGATATTATCGCACGGATTTGGGAGCAATCGGATGTTTTCGGAGATATTTCCCACGCCTTGAATTTTGACGTTTATCAGTGAATTTATTCGTGTTGTTTTGCGAAAATGTACTCAAAAACTAACGGTCGTAGAAATAGTATATTATGCAACAAATGCCGTTTACCGCATTTGTTGCATAATACACCATTCTATGACTGTTAGTCAGAATTGACAAACGTCACAATATCCGATTGCTCACAAACCTGTGCAGTAATATCCAGAAAATGTCCGAAGGGGTTCGGATCCGTGGATAAAGAAACTCACGTGGTATAGTGACGCTTTCCGCACGCTAGTTCGGTGAATAATGAGCATAAATAAAGCAAAGAGTTAAAGAGTTAATTTACTAGCTATGATTATATAAATTCTATAAAGTACATTCAGTGTGTTAAATGTTAAAATGAAAAAATAGCGGGTCATATTTTTGTAGGGATATTTGAATAGCATTCTGGAAGCGATCACTGAAGATGGTGTTAATGTCACCGGCTATTCAACTTGGTCTTTATTGGACAATTTCGAGTGGGCCTACGGTTACACGTACGTACAAATAATATTATTCTTTTTATTTTGCAGTTTCCTTATTACTAAAAGATAGTGAAGTATGAAAAAAATCTATCATTTTCAAAATATTTTGTGGTATATGCGTCATTCTGTTTTGACTGTGATTTTTTATGTCTTGTATTGTTTGTTCTTACTGGTGAATAATTAATAATAATTTAATATGATTTGCCATTCAGACAGAACCTGCAATATATCAGCTAAATATATAAATAATTGACACTTTTTTGGTTAATGTTTTAAGTTAAAACTGAATTCCGGTTCTATAAGTTTTATTTAAAATTTAAGGAATTTTTGTATGTGGTCATCTACCTTGAGATTTATGAATAATGTTGAAAGTACGTCATCTGAGTACTGTTTACAAACATGGGGTTGATGAAATAGTGCAGAATTTATATGATTTTAGAACTCAAATTTATTTTTATTTTATATACCGTGGATAAATTAGTCAGTACCGTAGAACGGGAACATTTGAAATTTGTTTCTCGTTCTTGGCGCTTGGAAGTTATAGTAAAATCCTTTCAGGCTTTTATTTTTACAGTAAAATAGATTGATAATATGCGTAAAAAAATTAAAAAGTCTAATTTTAAGATCTTAGAAATTTTTAGTAAAAAAGTAACAGTAAGAATCGTTGAATTGTTGTATGCATTCAGGAAGAAGAGATCCATAAAAATCTATTAATGAATTAATAATCATTGTCTTTATTATCTCTTTATCTTTTTATTAGCTGTACCGTTAAGAAAGCTCTTAAATGACAATTTGTGATTCTTTAATTAATCCAAAAATTAAAATTAAAATTCGAATAATTTTGCTTGTTATTAATTGATGTAAGCAAGCAAATAATGACTAATTATAGTATCTCTTGCTTCACAAAAACGCAGAAAATGAATTTGTTTTTCAGCAAATATTTTAATATGAGACCTACGTAAAACATTTCTTTGCAACTTGCAGGCAGTCGTATGGGATTATAAAAGTTGATTTTAAGGATCCCAACAGAACCCGCACGTGGAAAGATTCCGCTACATGGTACAAAAACGTCATCGAAAATAGATTTATAACAAAATAATCAAGAATAAGCGAAAGTGGTGTAACAGAATGTAATAAAAAAATGTGTGTTACTTTTTTGTTCTTCCAACAGACAGAAAATATCTGGAGATCGTTAATTGAATCACGTGTTTTACATAAAATTAAAAACAATATACTCAGAAAAAAAACACCAGACAGTTACCATGGTGAACTAAACTAAATGTAAATGTGACTTGGTAATACAGGCGGACACTCCTCTTTAAACGGACATGTTTTTTGGAACGACATATTTGCCTACCCTTTTACCTGTAAAACAAACCCATTTAACCGAACACTCCATTAAACGGACGCAGACAACACTATCCCGACTTAAACGGACGTGGAACTCCAATAACAGGACCACAGAATGCTAAAGTATCGGGGAATTACCTTTTTCCTAATCCTATAGGTGAATTACCTTTTCCATTTTTCATATCATATCGTATTATTCATTATGTGACTTGCAGTTTTATTTTGCAAGCAAATCCCGTAAGTCGATTTCACAATTTTTAAAATGGCGCCTACTAAAAACTTCTTACTCTGCGAGAAAAAATGAAAATTGTTAACGTTTCGGAAAAGGAAAATTTGTCAGTGCGGAAGCTCGCAGAAAAATTTAAAATCGGCAAAAATTAAGCGGCGCGAATTGTGAAAAATAAGGACAGCATTCGTGTACAGCGGGAGTCGGGAAGCATTATTGATCAAAAAAGAAATTTTGTAAAAACTGAGGGACTTCAAATTGACCAAATGTGTTTTGATTGATTTTCTCGGTTGCGAGGTCAAAACATTCGAATATCGGGGCACTTAGTAAAGGCCAAGGCTCAAGCAATAGCCGAAAAACTTAATCTTCGAAATTTTAAAGCTTCCAATGGATGTCTGAAAAAGTGGCGCAAGAGACACGCGATAAGTTTTAAGTGTATCTCCGGAGAATCGGCAGATGTGAGTCAAGAAGACGTAAATAACTTGCCCGTACTACTACTCGGATATCAGCCACACGATGTTTACAATGCCGATAATATTGGCCTTTTCTTTCGAGTTTTATCTAACAGAACAATTGCTTTGAAATCCGAAAAATGTAGTAGTGGAAAGCTTTCCAAGGAGAAGCTTACAATTTTATTTTGTGCAGGACAAAGAAGATTTGCTTGTGATTGGAAAGGCTGCCCGACCTAGGGCATTTAAAAATGTGGCAATTAAAAATTTACCAGCAATATGGACATTTAACAAGAAAGCATGGATGACACGAGACATTATGAAAAATGGCCCTACAAAAGCGAAAAATGGATAACGCAGCATAGCACTCCCGTGAGGTAAAATTACAAAACATAAAAATTATCTTCTTAGCTCCAGATTTAGCAAAGTTTGTAAATATTTTAGAAGCACTTTATTTTATTAAGTTATTACGAATAAAGTTTCGTAAGAAATCATACAAAATTGTCTCAACCAAGCTGGTTTTCAAAAAAATAAGTAATGGGATGCAGAAGATAATATCCCACTATCTACGATACTTGAAATGGAGCAATGAGAGAAAAAGAAACATAACGCAAGAAGCTCATAAAAACTATGTTGGAATCGACAATCTTACAGCGACTTAGGAGATTAATCTGAACATTGAAGATACAATTGAAAGCATAAAAGAAGCTGAGCCGGTCAAGTTTGTTAAAGCAAAAACCAATAACTATGCGTCAGACTAGTATCGTAGAGTTTGTAAATAAATAATTAAAGTTCATTAACCTACATTTTTTTCTATAGTTTTTTGTATGTTTTTAAAGAAATAAACGTAATAAATATTTACGATTAATGTTGTTTTTCATTCACGCAGCTCTAATGAGCGGACACCTCCAATAATAGGACAAAACTAGAGGACCCATGAGTGTCTGGTTATGGAAGTTTTCACTGTATATTTCAAACAGTGCTTATAGTCGAAAAGTTTAGACCAAAAATTGACGAAAAATTAAAAAAAATAAAAGTCGACTAGGAAATATATTGCTTTTAACTATCCGATTTTTATTCATAACGGTTCAGCGCCCCAAGTATAAATACCAACTTTCACGTCGTTAACTTTAATTAAAATAATTAGAGTAATTAAACGAAACAATTATGTTTAAATATGCAGAGTGCCCATTACCGGCCAGTTTATTTTATATTTCGTACTGTTTGTGTTATCGAAAAATTTGAAAAAAAAAAAGTTAACGTTCACTGATATTGATATTCAAAATCAATAATTTATGAAAATTCGTACATTTTGTGTCATCTTAACATTTTATAGGTTCAGTCACTATCTTATCTGTTATACTACATTATAATAGACCAAAATCATTTTTATATAGCTATATTATCAGCTTTTTTTTAGCCATCAAAAAGAGTTGATCCAATTGTTTGTTATTTTAGTAGTTGCAGTCAGTTTGGTGGAAGGACAAATTTTCTAATTCTAGTTTGTTTACATTTGGACCATATAAAATCTTAAACAATTACCAGGTGGGGGAGGTTGAATAAGTGAATCCCGAAAATTAGTTATATCTCCCTCATATTTGAACTATGTAATTTAGAAGGAGATAGATATACCCAAGATAAAATTCCCAGGTCTAAAATTACAAAACTGATTATTTCATTCTAGGATGTAGTAAGATATAAGAGAATATGCAACTGATTTTCTTGGAAAACTAATCAAAACTATTGAAAATTAAAAAATTCGGATACAAAAATATTTTGTGACGAATTTTTTTTAACCTATTGGTTGATTAACATATTGCCAATTTATTTAGTTATTTAACAAAAAATTTCTTCTTAGGTAATAACATATTTTTGTTTCATTTGGCACATTTACTTCCAGGCGATATTATTTTAAATTTGGAATAGGCATAAACTCAAAACCATAAATTTAAAAAATGTTATATTATGAAAAAACGTGTATAATCTATATAACAAATGTAACTTCATAACGAAAAATCGATTTATGCCCTCGACAATTTAAATTGGCAGGAAGCCTTGACATTAAGTATGAACGGTCCTTCCTGCTGCGGCAAGAACGTGGAAGGGATAATATCCACAACACCCGAGGGCAAGTTAGATAATTCCAACACGACGTAACCCGATCTACAAAAAGCCCCCATTTTAATCAGTGTTTGATACGAGTTTTGTTTCTAACCTGTATGGCCCTGAAGACTTGGATCTAAAAGGGGCGGTAATGTTCTCATCGTTAACTTGTCTTATAACGGCTTCCAGTCCAATCTGGTACTGTTTCGGACCTTTTAATTCTATTAAGAGATGATTGTTATCAGATACCGAATCAATATTTATTCTAAACTTGGGATTGTTGGGGTAACTGGCAGGATGGTTGGGACAACCACCGGCCGTGGGTCCCTTCCACTCACCCGTGACCTAAAATTGCAGAAATTGGCATCTACCGGAATTCAGCATTTCACTTAAGTATACCTCTTTCTGTTCTACATAGGGATCCTCAAGTTCTGATAGTTGAAAAGGGCAGGTGGCATATGCTCGCAAAGTATAATAAATAGTGGTGCACTTTTCGTACTGCGAAATAACAATTGTAAAATTTCTGCTGCTTTCGGGACCCAGAATAATCTTGCATAAATAGTGAGGGCTGTTGATTTTGACTCCGTCAATATAAGGAGGTGGGTCGTCTAAAAAGGAATATATAATAACTAACTCAGCAAATGTAAACTCCCAAGACTCACATGGATAATAAACCTTCTTCCCACTTTTATAAACAAAAACAGTTATAAATTCTTTATTATTTCGAAAATCCTCAATATCAGTAATATGTCTACTTAATAAAATCCACACGGCCCCTGCACCATCGGATTGAACATTGAGGGAGAACTGAGGGTTTGAAGCGCAAGTGTAGAGGTCTTTAACGGGACCAGTGCCCGCGTGCCACATCCTAGAACCAAACAATTCAAACAAACTCAATTATTCGTATGATTAACCTACTGATGGATGCAATATGTGAATTTAAACAGCTCCGGGTTCCAATTCATGTAAAACACGTCAAAGAATCTCAACACGCTATCGAAGTCTATCCAGAATACGCCGTTGTCAAACTGGGCCGCACTATTTGGATCATAGTTCAGTAGTTTTTGAAGGTCAGGAGTCCAGTGGTACGTATCCAGCTCTGAATAGTTACCCCGCCATCTCAAATGTGACCAAGGATTTTTTAACTTCAAAAGTCTCACCTAGATGTACGAAATAATAATGGCGACCAGTCTCCCACCCATTAGAAAAAATGTTACACATTTTTATTTGCATATGTATATCTTATCTTGGAAAAAATACTATGAGCCCCATCAAAACCAAATAAAAATTCTTCAAACACACACTCAAATAATTTTTTTTCGAGGAGTTCCATTCAACGTGCGCATGCGAGACATTTAAAATTTCGTTTTTAGCCAATAGCAGCTCTAATGACAAATATAACTAAACCCATAGGTTTAACCTCCATTGAAATAACTTTGGGATGCTAGATAGATTACATGCAAGAATTTTAGTTTTATCAAATAAAATTTTATGCACGGTTTCACGAGTGTGTTCGGCAGCAGCTGATGAGTTTATTTGTCCTAAGGCTCTTTCGTGTTCTTCGAGCCTAGTTGATATTTTTCGTCCGGTCTCTCCAATGTATTCTTTGCCGCATATGCATAGAATAAACTTCTGCAGATGTTGACAGATTTTTGGACAAGTGGTAAATCTGGTTTTGACGTTATACTTCTGTAGAACTTTTGATATATGGTCAGTGAGGTTTTGAACGTAAGGAAGGACCACAGTGGCAAATGTAGGATTACTTTCGGCCTCATTGCTATTGGAAGGTTGTGGTGAAGTGTATTTTTTGATGGAATGTTTAATATTTTTAATGTGAAAATTATGCGAGAGAAGAGCAGAGGTAAGGTGCCAACAGGCGAAACTTCAGCAATTTCGACTAAGCAAAAACCGAGGCAGGATGAATCCAGAAGTTTTGTAAAAAGCAACTTGTAGCTTAATTACTTTCTTATATTTCCTGTAATTCCATATTATCTTATAGTTATATGGGTCCCGGACTCACCACAATTTATGTAATTTCTGAAATAGCACCCTGTACATGGGTCAAAAATGACTAGGCATTTGTGTCTCATTTTGTCTATACTTGTCCAAAAACAAAGAGCATTTAATTTAAAAAACTCTTTTGTCAAATAATGAAATTCAATTTACCCCATTCACCGTTCTGACATCCATCACTGCGTAAGCGTGAGTGGCGACCAAGCCACTTCTCTCCGCATCAGCATCAGATAATTCCCCAGTAGCCACTGTAACCAAAACATCACCTTTGGCTAGTCTTGACTCCAAAGTGGTAAAAAGGGAATCCTTATTAAAATCAGCTTCTTTAAGCCTAATACCAACTCTTTCTGGAATCCAACCAGTCAAAGCATGGAGATCTATATTCTAAAACATTACACGAACATATGATGTATGAATATTAATATATGGAAAAACGTACACTATTGCTTCCAGGAAAATCGTACCCTCCCATCACCTTCATATAAGCTTTCTCTAACAATGAAATCCAAAATTCGTTCTTATTACTTGAGTATGAACATAGCAGCCTACCATGTCGATCAATTGGTAAATTATCGTCTATTATAACTTTTCGAGGTATTCCATTAATGTGTAATTTTATCATATACTTGCCTATAACAATAAAGTTAGCTAAAAATATATTAAAAGGTAGATAGTTCTTTACCAAAAGGATTATAGATTGGTTTTCTATCTCGGGACTGGGGATAAACAACGGCAGTCACCAACTTTCGCCCAAATCTAGCTTCATACAAGGCACTTACAGCTAAGCTGGCTACAAATGAACAATCAGAAATAACAGTCTGTTTGATATTGAGGTAATTTGGAGCATTGCCATTCACTATGCAAGGGTCTGAGCAAAGTTGTTCAGGTCTGGCCCACTTATAAAATTCCCGTTTTTGTTTTGGAGCAAGTTCAAGTTCCCCATCTTTGTCAGTGAATGGTATTGAATATTGAAATCTACAATCAAAATACAGGGTACAGTGCTTGCAAAACTGCTATCCATCATATACATGGATAACTTATTATGTGTATTGGCTGACCAGGGGGTAGTATATTGTTTTGCAGACTATTCAGGTGTGATTGGGAAGATAATTGACAGAACATAAAAACAGTGCTCTGCAAAAAAAGAAGACCAGATATGTATTTACTCTCACTGGCGTTTGAAAAGTCAAAATTTGTTGCCTTTTAACTGCAGCATTTCAAAAGTATGACTGTAATCAACTCACAATATTAAGGGATTAGTTTTAGATGAAAACCTTACATGGAAATAAAATATTGGGATCCGACAGAGTTAGTTTTTAAAGAGAGTGAATTATTAAAGATACACCCTGAGCTATAACAAGGCTTATGGTAACAATAACCTATGATAAAAATACTATTAATCATGGATAAAATACAAGAAATGCAGCACTAAACAAGGTTGAACTACAATTATTTAGGTCCCAAAATTTTTAATAGCCTTTCCAACAATATCCAACAAACCTATACCCCGATGTATGAAAAAAATCAAAGGATGGATACTGCAAAGTAACTTCAAAATCAATTTTTGAATTCAAAAATTAATAATTGCTAATGGTATGGGAATTTCTAGACTTTTGGAGTTTTAATTTACTTTTGAAAATTATTTAGTTTATTGTTAATTTAATTACACATTATATTATATTACTTGTTTTTGAAATATTTTTCTGTTACTGCTACAACTAATACATAAATAAATAAATAAGTGGAATATATATTATTTTGGAAATTAGTATATTTTATGCTACCAAAGGAACAGTAACAACAGAACTGACTTAATTTTCACAAGTTTAAACCAAACTAAAAACCATACCTTTCTTTCAAATCGACTATCATGAAAGGCACATAATCTCTACCATTAATTTTTGAAGTGTGCAATAATACAGCCTTTTCATTTTCACTATAAATATCTTGCCCGCTTACTTGAAGATGCACACTAGTGCCTCGATGTAAAGTTGGATGATTTTTTACTGAACTAGAAGTTGTCACTTTAACATTAGAAATGAGAGGTGGAACAATATCAGTTGGGGGTATAGTTTCCTGTTTTATTCCTGCAAAACTTATTTTAGGTTATACAGTATAGAATAACATTCAGGTTCCACCTTTTAGTAGCTCTGCTCTCTCCAAAGCTTGTAGTGCCATTGCTTTCAATTCTCCTTTCATCAACTCAGGAAATTTAGTAATGTACTCAACAGCTTTTGCATATAATTCAATAGCATCCTCCTTATCACCTTGCTCATCTTCTTCAATAGCTTGCTGCAGCAAAAAATAGCTTTGTCTAACTATCTTTTTATTTTCATCTTCTTCGAGAAGCTTGGAACACACATTCGATTTTTTTTTCAGCTCAATTGACCTATTTCTATATTCCCATGCCCTTTGTTTTAAGGAACTTGAATTACCATCCTCTGTAACTTGAGCGGCTTGGTCCAATAACACAGCTGCCGCTTCATAATAATACGCGGAAGGTTCAAACTGTCCTTCCTCATCAAATTTCACTGCCGTCTTGGCAGCGGCTACAGCATTATTTATTAAGTGCCCGGGAGTGGTCATATTTGCCCTAATGCACTACAGTTAAATATCGGCGGTCCTCCGAATTCTGAGCAATAACCTCATTACAAAACGTTGTAAATTATATTAACCGTATTTGCACATTCGCTGAATATTTTTATCAGTCATAAACGAACTTCAAAATAACCTCATCCCCTGACGTTTGGCAACTAAAGTAAACATCTTATTGAACTACGCTTCTACGTATCGGAACTACCAGCCGATGTATGTTGGGCTGCATAACAAGAAGGAATTTATCTGAAATAAATTTTCAATCAGTTCAAGGGAATTACTATTCGCGCAGCGGCGGAGACGTGGGTACGTCAAACATCAACTAATCGGGTTACTTTCATTCAATAAAATGATATTTTTAAAAATATACGGAATGATAGGTTCCTTAATAATTGCTAGGTGATAAGGATCAATTTAGCATTGGAACATAGGAAAGGATGACGCATTATTTGTTTAATTTTGAATGTTTTTTAATCCATTTATTTACTACCTTTACTATATTATGTTCCCTGACTATATTCTACGCTGCTGGGTTACTATATTCGACCCACAAGAAATGGGACAACAAAACATTAACATGGTTTGTTGCTTGTCTGAATTAGTTCAATCGAGTAGCAGCATTGCCTTAGTCATAATTTCAATAGTCCCGTATCAAGTAACCTATTATTTATATATTATATTATTTATAGCTAGATTATGCTACACGCACTCCCAGTTTTGTACTAGATACTGAAAAGTGAATCCCCAATCTCGGAGGTAGATACGATTTCTACCGACGAATTACGAAGTAAATCAAGGGGAACGACTGCGAATGACTCGCACTTGTTACACGGGAATATCCTGATTACTGCGTTTTCCAACAAGAGATAGGTATGGTGTGTTGCTGGATCTGCGAGGCGTAAGTTTTTGTATTTATTGTTTTTTTTTTTAAATGGGGCTTAAATAATGTTTAATCTTATTGTTACTTTAAATTTTGGTGGAAATATTAATTACTAAATGATATTGGAATATTGCTGCCCTGTTGTTTATTATCTATGGCATTCTAAAGTTTGTTAACGATACTACTACATTTATTTTTTAGTTTGCCTCTACAAATTGTTATCTAAAAATAGAATGCCCAAACAAAAAAATAAATTTAATGCCTTTCCGAATAATTTCATGACTCATGACATATTGTTATCGCCGCATTTATTGCAAGTGTTATATTTTTTATATAGGTCTTTACACGCCATTACTCGTAATCTTAATTTGTTGACTTTATGTAGGTGTAATGTAGATACGTAAATTTTTTTATCAGCGCAGCTGTACAGGGTGTTTATGCAACAACAATTAGTGACGTCTATTACAACTGGAAAGAGTAATTACCTAGATCAAGTATACTGGTCACAGATAACAAAAAGACACAAATAAAAATTGAACAAAAGACAGGTTGCTCTTTTAGATTTTGAAACCTATATTTGACATATGGCAACATTTCTTATAACATTATATAGGTATTTGTAATAATAATAAAACAAAATCATATTAATTGAAAAAAAAATCGCTCTGAATATTCAAATTTTTTGGTAATAATTATTTATTTGTTTCAATAACTATTGTTTCAGATGTTCCTGCATCACACGAACAATATGTTTGCTTATATTCCTAGCAGTAGTGGCGGTAATTATTGTCCTAGCTTTGTTTTTCACGGGTCACATTCACTTAAAGAAGAACTGAGTCATAATTTACGTACATATAGTAATTAGTTGTCCGATTTACGTGACAGAGATCTGTAATGCATACATTCAACCTTCTACTTTGCAATGAGAGCCTGTTTTGTAAGCGAGTCAAAAAGTTTGCGGAAGCTATGTATGAATGACAATTTCTAAGTAGGTGTATATTGTTTTGTTTTTAAATGATAATAAAAAGTTGTTTACTTTATAGGTGTTTTTTTTTTAAGAATTCTTATGAAACTAGGTTATTTGGGATTTGTCTTCAGCTTCATTTTGGCCATAGCAAGAAATATTTTTAGTATATTTTTAAAAGTACTTGCTCGAAATTGATCGAAATCTTTTTTTTTCCTTAAAAAAAAACTAACGCAAAAGTATACATCCCAACTTGTTTTTATTTGCAGTATTTTCACAAGTTCTGTGATAAAAACTATACTACTCTCCTGCCCTCTGATGACGGGTGTGTCTGTTAAACGATGATAGATTACTGGTCCGAATGTAGATGGCGCAACATATCGCTCAGAAAAATAATAAAATTAAACTTTCATTCTGCTGACTTTAAAAGGATATTATTGCAGAATATGTTTAAACTCGTTCACTTGTATTTCCTCTCTATGTGTTAGAATTAGTACTGATTTTGGTTCTGTAAATTGTTTAGTACACCGGTGAGTAATATATTTCGAATATATTGGCATCTTCAGTTGTGAATATATTTTTTACCTTATTTCTAAAATTTCGAGTCGCAGGTATTTCGGTTTGTTAATAAAACAGGTAATAACAGTTAACCACTTAAATTAAATATGTTTTAACGGGCCCGTGAAAAATTAATATGAAATTGGTCATGTTAAATATCTATTTTAAATGACAAGGCATACATATGTAAATTGTTACCCTTCAAAAATAGTGTAAAAATAATATTTACACTCGAAAGCATACAAACCTTTACCACTATTGGCATTTTATCACGCTGAAAGATTTACATTCGCGATCCGCATTATACACTAAATCTTTGAATTTTTGTTTTGAAATCCTTCATGCGTCATTAATGCTTCCAACCGTAATACTCACACAATACTTCATGGATCTGTATATAGATGAAATATACATAGAATATTATATAACATATTCATGGAATAGCTTATATTTTTTTAAAAAATTGTTCCAATATTTAACCCAAATATCATTTTGTGACATACAAACATGTATTCTAATTGGGTTTTTTTAAAACTATTAAAATTTGTTTCAGTTTTTCGTCCACTTCATAAACCCTCTGTTGTGGGTTGTGATGAAACTTTGTACATTTGGTGTCGATTGCAAATTCCAATTTCAGTAGTGTTTCCAAATACAACCTAGTTTAAGTATTATTACATCAAATAGAGTCTTTGGTAGCGTCTTGGAATTAATAATTATGATCTTATCAGTACTGAATTAGCATCTACTACAACAAATTAATCTAAGAGTTTATCAAAATCGGTTTTACCGATAAAAAATGATTTTCTTAAAAATATAACAACCTGTATCTTTGAGAAAATGAATTTTATGACCCTGTTTGTATATATACTTTTGGTCATAAATGGTATCAAGGAATTCTTTCAATATTTAAGAACACTCTGATATTACATAGATATTTATAGTACAGGCTGTATAGGTACATATCCAATACATATTGATGTACGTGATGCATTGCCGAAAGGAACATAGGAAATCCCATCTAAATTTTTAGGTGGTCAAATATTGGCTTCTCTGTACATTTTATAGCAAAACTGTAATATAACCTTTTGAAGGGGCCGGTATGATTAATTCATGTGCCGACTTTGAATACATTTTAATAAGACCATCTTCATTTATTGAATTAAGTTTGATGGATGAATTGGGACATTATTATAGTTTGGGTAATAAATTAAACACCAGTAAAATACATTTTGACAATAACAACACGAAAATTAAGCAATATAATATCTTTGTTTTTGACGAAAATTTGCTACAGTAACAATATTTTTATTTCGGAATGTTATACGTTATTAAGCGTGCTTTAACTAAAGCTAAATATGCCTTATTGAATTTAAGAAAAAGTAACCATAATTAAGTAAACAGTCTTAGAGCAGTGTCTGAAATGTTTCAGTTTATTTTCCTGCTAAAACTAGATTGACTTATTAAAATTTATTCAAACTCGGTACATGAGTTAATCATATCGGTATAAAGTTCGCCTGTTGTAAAGTGGAAAGGACCATTTTTTTCAGCACGTGAATCACAAGCCAGGGTCGTACTTAAGATGTTAGCCGACAACAACTGTGGCGTGCGGACTGTTGCATTTTAAGAGTAATGAAATTTTCTTGATTAAACTGCTATATTAATTCATATTAGTGTGCTTTTTATACATCTCCCTAAAACAGTCCCTACTTAAGGTAGCTCGATTTCAAGTTGAATTTGCCCATTAGGTTGGTTGATCTCCTATATTAAAAACACATCAAGCTTAAACTGATTTTCAATTTGAATGGATGTTTTCCCAGTTTGCTACCGGTTGCTTTGTAGGGGTTGGTGAAATCGGAATATACTGTCAGTTTTATGAAACGGTATTTTCTTAGCCGTAGAAGCTTTTAGTTATTTGCATTATTATAATTACCAATTACTGTTATTCAATTGTTTTTTAAGACTCAGTACCATATAGATTTTATTACAATTTATTTCTTACCAAATAGTAACATTATTCAATTTTATTAGTCACTTGCGATGTGCAACGACGAAAGAAGTTGAGATTGTGGTCGATGACGTAATAAATCGTTGATGATGAACATCCGTCAAATTCAAATAGATCAAAGACTCGGACACATAATTTTAAATGTGTTTCCGAAGTACGGTTCTGGAACGTCATTGTGGTATCGCAAATCTATTGATTGATGGTTACAAAGGGAAACTCAAGCGAGGTGGGCCTGCGGTTACATCTTCATAAAAATTTACCAAAGTTAAATACCAGATTATGTCGTAAAAGCGGTATATCGTTAGCTAACTATACCAGTTCATCAAATGAAGTATGTATAATGTATTTAGTCTTCTGTGGTTTCTGCAACTATTATCCATTGCTTATTAAAATTTGAATATAGTGTCATGTACATTATTTTGAATATTCTGCAGTACTTTTCGTGTACTACAATTCAGCGACAAACGTCCATTGCATATTAGTTTTAATATGTGTATGTCTACTGTAAGTTAAATATCCATGTAAGTATATCAATATCTATAAAATTGATATGATCCGTAAATTCTACATAATTTTGAGTGAGTATTGAGTATCTTTGCCGCAAGTAGCATTCAGCCATAAGATTCACTAATTTATATTAAATCAATTCAACAATCTGTATGTAATTATATCATATGGTTTACCTAAGACAAGTACAAATTTTTGATTCAAGGGTTTAAGTTGGGATTATGAAAAACGTTTTTAAATTGTATATCGCATATCTAGTCAAACCCTGGCGTAATTTTCATAGTGCACTTTTATTGGAAAACATTACAAGAACGGAAATACAAACAAAAATTATTTTCAATTTTTGGTCCTCCAATGTTAATAACGGCTAAACATATGATCAGTTTTCGCCGATTTGTTTGAGGAATTCCTCGCTGTCCGTAATCAGTTGCTGCAGCCTTTCTTTGGTGGCGGATGTCTGGTGTTCTTTGAGCTTTTCTTTAGCGCTCGCGATGCTGCAGCGATAACCGGTGGCGTTGTGAAATACTCGAATCTGCTTATCGGCAGCCACCAAAAGATATTTCCCGGAGGCATCGAAAAGTATTGCGGTTATAGCTTCTAAAATAAATATTGGGGAATAAGTGATATTTAGGCAATAATTTGTAAACTACTATCGATACAAATTAAGTTAATACCATAACAAATATTTTTACATTTTTACCATTTTACACATTGGGTTAAATAAATGTCGAGCATCACAAATACTAATGTTCTTTTTATTCATTTTATTCATTATATTACAATACTGGAAACATCCAAACTTAACTTAACAAAAACAAAGAACAAAGTAAGAAGTCAATAAGTAGAATGTTTTTTATGTTATTACATTTTTAGTAATTAAGTATGATTTGTTGATGTTTTTCTGTGCATGTGAAGATAAAGATCGTATGAAATGTGCGTCCCACTTAGCGACTGTATCAAGCTGACAGCACATTAATTCAAAAGTTTTGTTAAAATTATTAAAACTTAAAAAAGTGTCAGTAGCCACTAAATGTCCAAATTATGAAAGAAAAATTGAAAGATATAAGAATTTTTTTAAAATGTAAGTACATTTAGCAGAAAAAATAATGTTTTTTTTTTTTAAATGATCATCTGATTCAAATAACATTCAATATTTAATAGGTCCACAATTTTTGCATATCCGTTCCGAGTGTTCAGCATTGCACTTACCGTTTGAAATGTTCTCAATCACGTAATCCAACTCTCCAGTAAGGGTGGAAAAAAACTGTAAATCACCAAAAGTGGCGATCACAACAACTTCGCTGTTGGGAGATAAGGCAATTAAGGCATGGTTGCCAGACTGGTCATATTTTTCTGTACGTAACAGTCGTGCATCTTGTCCCTGTTTGTAGTTCACTGAAAACCCGAGAAAACAAGTGAAAAAATTGAAGTGCGATTTCTCGCGGTGATTACCGTTAGTATCGAACAATTTCCACGTGCCGTCTTTCGAAACTGTGGCCATGTGAGAAGAATCTACATCGAAAGCGACATCGTATATCCCAGCAGAGTGTCCCCTTAAAGTCAAAGGCACTATTTGTTTGACATCCTTGAATTCACCCGATTTGTTGAAGGCAACTTCCCAAACCTTGGCTTCCGGGGTAAAGCCTAAAATATTTTTAAAATTTAAAAAATTCCTTTAAAATGTTTCGTTCACAACGTAAATTTTCCAAATTTGATACATTTTGAAATAGACAGACTATACTTGTGATACACTTTTAAAATTATTCAATTGAAATTTTATTATCTTATTTTACTTTATTATTTTATTGCTATTAGAAGATCAATATTTACAGTATACAGTATAGTATCTTTAATATCTAGAAATGTACTGGTTTTGACATAAATACAAAAAAAAATTGGTGCAAGTTTTTTTCTAACATTTTGCACTGATAAATGGTTTAGAAAATCATTGGAAAATCTAAGCACGCCAAAGATGTTAGATGTCAATTAAAAAAAAAACAAAAATA